ATTTTCTTTCGTGTAATTCAATGTTTATATGAAAGTAGCTGTTTCAGGAGGACTTTCTTTCAGTTTATATCTGAAAGTTACTTCTTTGCATGATCTACACATTCATGTATAGAGTTTCAAATTGATTACTTCCTTCCTTTCTTTGGAAGATTCTCTCATCCCTTTTTTTTTGTATCAGATGGAGTAGTAGAAAGCCAAAAACTTTCTTTCATAAAAATTGAAGTTTTTGAGTTTCTACTTCTCCATCTTGATACAAAAAATGTGGGAATTTTCCAAAGAAAGGAAATACGCAATCAAAAAATTAACTCTATACAAAGATGAGTAGATCATGCAAAGAAGTAACTTTCCGACACAAACTAGAAGAAAAAGTCATCTCGTAACAGCTATTTTCATATAAACATTCAATTACACGAAAGAGAAATACTTTCGAAATAAATACTTCTATATATGAACGCCGAATTATACGAAAAACACTTTTCTCTATTCCTATTGTATTCCAAACATTCGTATAGAATCGAATCAGATATTATTCACAGGATTCATACACAATATAAATGAAAAAAGAAGTGAAATTTCACTTATATGGAACACTGTCATACTCACTGCCATACATCCGATGCTTCGCCGTGAAACACTTGTCTTATCGACTCTTCAGTAGCAAATACGGATAATATTATAAGAAAAAACACAAATATACCCTTTCAATTCATTTTTACTTACGAAATTATCGAAAATGTAATGAAGATCATACTTCTGATTATGTTTTGATGTTATTCTGATTCTTCACATTTATTATTATTTCGCAAATTCCCATGTAGGATTTAGGTGATGGAAAAGATGATTTTTCATGACTTCAACTTTCCAATGACTCATGACTCTCCAATGAAAGACACCATATAAATGAGAAGTGCGAAAATGTCGAGAGGAAGAATTTGAGCAACTAGTTTTTGGTCTTACCACATTTAGTGAATTCACCCAACACTTGGCAAACCAGTGCAGCCAATATAAAAACAATGAATGATTTAAACATCGTCGTGATTTATTTTGGATTTGAAATATAAAGAGAACCCCGAGATTCTTATACTGTGGGAATATAAATGAATGAAAACAAATAGAAAATTAGTTTACACCTTATCGGTATCATTATGAATATTCAACGCGTCATTCAATATACATTATTCATTCGCTTACTGATATGCAACCGTTGATTAAAAGAAAATTTATTTACAAATTTGAATTTCCAATGAGGTTTTTATGATGAAATTGGCCGATATTTGATTGAAATTCATAACGTTTTTAACTGACAGTCTGATGTGAAATTATCTCTTTTTCAGTATTTACGTGATGAAAAAGGTTAGTTTTCCAGTAAAATCCATTCCTTTTTTACAAATGATCATAGCAAGTGGCACATTTAATCAGTTAAATCCAATTTTAATAGGATTTCTGAATACAGGACTCGCCAACCAGCAAAAACAACAGAAAAACTCTACCAACAAAGTAACCAAATCATGACTCATTCGACAGCAATGAGTCAACAACAATTTCCAGAAAAAAAAACCAAGCGATCATTGTTTCTTCAGCTGATGGAATGAAAATCCAAGAATCTTCTTACACTAGGAAATCTCGTGAATCCCAAACAAATTCTATTAGCATCAAGGATCTCCAACAACTGAATCTGCATTTACCTCTCTGGTACGGAACTGGTAAACACGGCACAATCACTATAAGCCATGAAATCTTACGAGCAAGGAGACTAATTACCTTGTCTGATAGATTTTCTTTGCCAGCCCTACCAATCCCCACTTTCTTCTAGAACGTACTCTTCTTAAAATAGGCCTAAATACAGGGTGATTCAAAAGTACTTGAAGTTTTCAAGTCCAAATATTCAGAACACGGTTGCTTACAGCGACTAGTAACAAGGGTAGCTTATTTACGTAGATATGATAGAGGAATCAATTTTTTTACTGAAAAATATGCTAGAAGTACGCCCAAAAAAGTAATGAATCTTTAAAAAAGAAAAAGAAAAAATAAAACTTCAACATCCTGTATCTTGGAAACGAAGCGTTTCCGGACATTTATTTATTCGGACAATTCATATTAGAATATTGTGAGGAATCACCTCCTGAAGTTTGTCAAAGTACTTTTGAATCACCCTATATATTGCCACCAATAACATTCCTGCAAGTCAACATCTCAACTCACGATTTTGCACACATACTGAGTTTCAGAAGGCAAATCTATATAAATCCACCAGAAGATGTCAACATTCCAGAATCATTTTCAGTAATTCACGATACTACGTCGTACAAAGTATATCTGTCAACAAACTTCCATGTTTTAAGTGCCGTCAACCCGGCAATATATCTTCCCAAACTGCTGAGCTTCAAGAACAATTACCTGAGCTTGACACCCTACCTTATCCAGAAACATCCAAAACTTCAAACGAACCATCGCTCCCGTCGCCTGATCATAATGAGTCAGAAATAGGTCGGTCGGTAGCCAGGCGGTTCGACGTGGGTGCTTTGTTGACCCACTCGAATTGACTGCCGTGTTGGTCGGTGGTTCGACCCCTAGTCTGAAAGATCGATTTTCACTTGCTATCGTCCAACCCTTGTTAGGAAACACACGTTAAAAGTTAAGATCTCATTAAAGCTTAGTCCGCACAAGTTTCGACTTCTGAGGGTTGTCGTTCATAGGAATGCGACAGCTGGTTAACGGTAAAACTCCACAACCTAGCAAACCATCCGTTTGTGCGAACTTCAACAGCTAAAATGAAAGAACCATCACGGAAACATTGAAAAAAACTGATGAAACGACACTCGACCTATTTAGGAAGCCATCAGTGACGGCTCGTGCATTGGAGAACAGGGGAGGCTAAAGTCATAAAGACTATATATAGATAGAAAAGCCCGCGAAAATGTTTATGTTGTTGCACGCTTTGCTTAATACTAAAGCTAGGACATGGGCATGATAATGCATAAAAAGTGCATGAGGAGCTGTGGACTTTGGACTTTATTTTAGTTTGTAAACCATTTAAATGGCCGGCCATGACCGCAGCCCCATCATAGGTTTGTGCAATTAACTTTTGCCTAAAATTATAGGTGTCACACGTACGAATTAAAAATTTAAACAAATCGTCAGCTGTGCGCCAAGATGAAACATCATAAAAACCCATAAAACTTTCTACCATATTAGCATCTTTGACATAAAAACCATTGAAAGTTGTGATGTACAGGTAATATCGGTAGTTTCATCAATTTTCTATGCAAAAAAGAAACACTTTCAATCTCCTTGCTTATATTTTTCTTAATAATATATGCCACACTTTATATAAACTCATTTTGGATGGTTTTTGAGGTACCCGAAAAAACGCTACCGTTTAAAGATCCAAAAATATATGAGCTGATAACAAGAAAACAAAATCTATCGAAGAATGTACGAAACCCGCTAAAAACTTTGTTGACCTGGGAGATTTTGGGATCAATTACAATCAACTCAAAGACTTCTTTGAGAATGTCTATGGATCTGATGAGCCAGGACCTTACACTAACGATATGCAAAGCTTATTGGATATGATAGGCAGCATCTATCCGTTTGTGAGCGAAAGATCTATTGCAACTAATTTTTTTAAGAACAAAACACAAACACTAAAGTTCATTTGGAAAAAAATTCTCATGTAGTTTATTTCACATAAACACAGTTCTCCAGATGAAAGAGTTCGCAAACTGTGAAGTTCGTGGTGTATTGAGTTGAACTTCAAAACGTTGAGCAGCCACAGTTCGTCGCGTATTTCTGATATGTGTATATGGTGGAATCAAATGTGTCAAATCACTTGAACACTTTCCGTGAAAGTATCTATAGGAGAAAGACAAATCTCCAACCTTTCTGCGATGTTCCAGGCTATTAAGGTTGCACGTGATGTTCGCGCCTCCAATCAGGCGGATGGCTTTTTGGCAACTTCATGGTATGTTTGGGGGCAGAGCTTCATACATGAGAACAATACTCTAAAGAAGGTCTGATCTGAGTTTTATAAAGCATCAAGAGTTGCTGAAGTGTGCATAGTTTTCTGGTTTGGAACAGTGTTCCGAACTTTTGAGAAGCAGCCTTTGCAATTCCAGCGACATGATTGTGCCAAGACATATTGGTGTTCATTTCAACCCCCAAGAAACTCATCAAAGCAGAAAGCGAGAAAGCCGATGCTTAGGTTTTTGTGGCATTGAACTGAACCTTGCTACTTTCACCCCAATTCGAAGCACGAAGGTAAAAAAAAGATACTGAAACAATTACTGACCGAAGAGGTAGATATGCTTTTCCGATACAGAGAGCGATTCTTTTTCACAGGAACTCCGATACATCTTTTCTCCAGCCCCAGTTTTGCGACGCAACGACAAAAGTTCACCATAAGTTCAGAATTGAAAACAGTTCTTAGCAGTTCTACATATGATATAGAATTTTTCAATGTCACATAATTTTTAGCCTCAATGTTATAAATAGTATATATTTCATGAAATGTTCGTTGCTAATAGCCCAAATGCTTGATGCAACTTTCTTGTTCGATTGATGGCCTTTTTATTTTGGAGAAACTCAAATTGAATATAGGATAAAGAAAATAACTTCTCTCTAATTTCTACTAAGTTTATGATTTGTTACGACCGGTTTCGGTTCACTAGACCATTTCCAAGTAACTAATACATCAAGCCTGAGGTGGTTTTTCCAAATGGATTTAATCTCCAGCGATTCAAATCCAATGTGAATAGTTCTGAGAGCGCGTATAGGATTTTCCTGTAGTGCTTGTGTCTTGTATTTAAAAAAAAGCCAAGACACGTACTTAAATATACACTGATGAGGTCAGGTACATGTAATAAGTACTTGAAATAAGAAATGTTACCTGAATAAACAATACCAATACAACAATAACTCATTATCTTCTATTTAATTACAAAAACTTAAATTTGAATTAATTAAAACATTTACGTTCAACTAATTCCCTTCGAAAAAGTAAATTGGTTATGTAACAGTAAAAACTCATTATTAGTTGAATAATGTATTTGAAAAAAAGCTGTTATTATATTCAAGACCGTTCACATATGGGTATAGCGGTCTTTTCACATTCCTTCAAAGAATTGAAGTTGTTATTGGTTCCTCTGCATCCACCATAGATGAATTCTTGGCATTTTTGCAGAGAATTATTCCAGTAATAACGAATAAAATAGGCATTGCAGGTGATTCCCTCCAATGTAGGGGGCTGATCACAATCTGAAAATGTTAACAGAAAATTATTTAGCAAATACGGATGTTTAGTAGTCTAAAAGGCTGTGAGCTAATGTCCGTGCAGACATAGTTATGGTTTCCAATTCGATCAATTTGTCATACAGAAATATGTTTAANCGTCACTTTGAGGAGAGCAGTGGCGCAGCTATGATTTGGACGAAAACCTGACTGGTGGTGTGGAAGAACATTGTGCATCAGGACGTGCTCACGAATCTGTTCGTCAATTATTTTTTCAAGAGCTTTTGACAGGGTACAGAGGATGCTTATAGGCCTTAGATCATTCATGCTTGAAACGTCATGTTTTTTAGGCAATGGGATGATATTTGATTGTTTCCAAACGGAGGGAAAAACAGAATTAATTAGACAGAAGTTGAAAATGTGGACGATGCATGGCAATATCAGAGGACAGCAATACAGGATCATCGTTAAGGAAATTTTGTCTGGGCCGGTGGCCGTGGATTTGATAGAAAGTAACTTCTCTTGAACCTTAAATTCGTCAATAGGAGAGAACGAGAGCTGTCTAGTATTCTCCAAAGTATGATTGGAGAAATATTTGACGGTATGTTTGTCAGGGATGTTCGAACCTGTACCAGAGATGACGCAATTCAAGAATCCAACTATAACCTATAGGATCAAATGTGCTGTGGACCGGGTAATTTTTCAAATACTTTATGGAATACATGCCAATTATATCAATTTATTCTTGAATCGTATGTGTTTATACAGACCAAAGTCATCTTAATTTTGAACAGGTTAGCTCTCTTACCCTTATGA